TATTAAATGTAAAAAAATGAAGAAGAGGAGGGAGGAGGCAGGAGGGGAACTTACTACCACATTACATGATAATGTTGGTCGTAGAATAATTAAAATGGACATAAGTTTTAAATGACAAAAGGAAAAATGTCCTGTTACAGTAATTCATTACCCTGATGCGTACTTTGAGTGGTAGATGTGAGTGTGTGAGGTCACATACATATGATATAAAATATGACAATGTTGTTTTAAAGGATACACTCACTGGGTGTTATGTCTATCCTGCTCCTCCTCCTTCGCATTGTTGTCATTGTACATCATTACAACCACAACAATGTTTTTCACAGATTTTTCACACACAAAAGGGATTGCAGTTATTATTTTATGTCATTTTTATTGTTATTGTTTGCACAGACATCCACATCCACACGAACAGGACATTACACCATGATTCATGTCCTTCGTTAACTGTTGCCTGTTTTAAATAAGTTGATAGCCACAAAGTATGTTAATAATGTTTCACTGGAAAAACAAACAGACATACATATACTTACATACTTACATAGAGAGCATATGTAAGTAATAATTCTACTGTTGTTGTTAAATATTACATGACATATACAAATCCCCTTTTGACATATGACAATGACCGATGTCAATCATCATCCATAGTGGTGTTGTCATTGCTGACATATAAGTACTTTGTCATCATTATTATTATTGTTGTTGTTATTATTATCATCATCAGCAGAAACAACAGCATCATTATTGTCCAATCAGAAGATAGATGGATAGTAGGCTGGCAGGTAAATAATTCAATAAAGGGACTATGGAAGAAGAGAAGATTATTTTTCAAGGACCATTACAGGCGAAGATTTAAAAAATTTTTTTTTCAGAAACTATTGTAGGTGGGTATTGTTAAAGAATATTTTGTCAAGGGTCAGAATAGGCGAAGATGTTATAAGGAACATATTTCGAGGGTCACAATAGATTAAAAAAAATAAATATTTGTTAAAGGGTCATAATAGGCGCGGAGTTTTAAAAGAATATTTTATAAAGGACCATCTAAGGAGTGGGGGTTTTTAAATACAAGGCTTGGGTTTTTTAAATATGTTTTTTTTTAAGATCCTACAATGCGTGGATTTAGTAAATATATATTTTTTAAGATCCTACAAGGCGTGGATTTTTTAAATATAATTTTTTCAAGATCCTACAAGGCGTGGATTTTTTAAATATAATTTTTTCAAGATCCTACAAGGCGTGGATTTTTTAAATATAATTTTTTCAAGATCCTACAAGGCGTGGATTTTTTAAATATAATTTTTTCAAGATCCTACAAGGCGTGGATTTTCTAAATATAATTTTTTCAAGATCCTACAAGGCGTGGATTTTTTAAATATAATTTTTTCAAGATCCTACAAGGCGTGGATTTTTTAAATATAATTTTTTCAAGATCCTACAAGGCGTGGATTTCTTAAAGAATTTTTTTCAAGATCCTACAAGGCGTGGATTTCTTATAGAATATTTTTTCAAGATCTTACAAGGCGTGGATTTCTTATAGAATATTTTTTCTAGATCCTACAAGGCGTGGATTTCCTAAATAATATTTTTTCAAGATCCTACAAGGCGTGGATTTTCTAAATATAATTTTTTCAAGATCCTACAAGGCGTGGATTTTTTAAATATAATTTTTTCAAGATCCTACAAGGCGTGGATTATCTAAATATAATTTTTTCAAGATCCTACAAGGCGTGGATTTTCTAAATATAATTTTTTCAATATCCTACAAGGCGTGGATTTTCTAAATATAATTTTTTCAAGACACTACAAGGCGTGTATTTTTAAGAGAATATTTTTCCAAGACCCTACAAGTCGTGGATTTGCAAATGAAATTTTTTTTCAAGACCCTACAAGGCGTGGATTTGCAAATGAAATTTTTTTCAAGACCCTACAAGGCGTGGATTTGCAAATTAAATTTTTTTCAAGACCCTACAAGCGATGTATTTTTAAGAGAATGTTTTTCCAAGACACTACAAAACCCTACAAGGCGTGGATTTGTAAATAAAAATTTTTTCAAGACCCTACAAGCCATGTATTTTTAAGAGAATATTTTTCCAAGACTTTTGTAGGGCCTTGGAAAAATATTCTCTACAAGGCGTGGATTTTTAAATGAAATTATTTTCAAGACTCTACAAGGCATGAATTTTTAAGAGAATATTTTTTCAAGACCCTACAAGGCATGCATTTTTAAGAGAATATTTTTTGGATTTTAAAGTAATATTTTTCCAAGACCCAACAAGGCGTAGATTTTTAAATGATTTGTTTTTTTTTTCAATGACCATCCAGACGTGCATTTTTTAAAGAATATTTTTTAAGGACCATCCAAGGCGTGGACTTTAAATACTATGTTTTCAAAGGACCTAAAAACCCTGGATTTTTAAATAATATTTCTTCAAAGGACCTACATATCCTGGATTTTTTAGATACTATTTTTTTCGGGGCCCTACAAGGCGCAGATTTTTAAATGAATATTTTTAGAAGGGCCACAATAGACGCCAGTCCTACAAGACCTGGATTTTTTTTAAATAGCCCTGGGTCTTTTAAATAATATTTTGCCAAAAGCCCTACAAGACGTGGATTTTAAAAAGAATATTTTTGGAAGGACCATAATAGGCGTAGATTTTTGAAGAATAACAACTTTTTGGGATCTTCGGTAGATATTTCTCGGGCCCCATGAAGGGCACAAAAATCTCTCTTACCTTTAGCCAGAAATCCATTATCTCTTATCCTTGTTTATTGATTTTCTTTCGTTCTTTTAAAAAAAAATTCCCCTGTAGTTGTCCCCATGGACCATAATGTGCCCTTAAAGTGATGTGACACGACGGCACTGAAGATGACAAACCACTTTAAGGATTAATTTAAATTTAACATTATAACACAACAACAACACACACACACACATCCATCCATACATTGTTGCGTCCATGTAAAGCCGCGTGTGTGCATATGATAGGTTTTTGTTGTATTTTCGTCCTTTCTTGCATCCATATCACGCACACAAACGCGGCGCCTCATCATGCATGTGGCACGCACACATATACACCCAAATCATTTGGTACTCAGTTGAGATTTCTTTTTAGCCATTGTTGCTCTTGTTATTGTTGTTGTATTATTTATGACATGCACACAACATGTTTGTATGAATGACGCCTGCAGCCGTATTTTTTTATCGTCATCCTGACATATCCATCTACATGTTGTTCGTTACAAAGGGAGGACTGGTTGGCTGACTGCCTGGTTGTTCGGTTGGGTGGATGGATGTTTGAGTTTATTATTACAAAATAACAAACTATTGTTGTTGTATGCCATTACCTCATCATTACATATTCCGTCATCAAAATAAGTGAAAAGAAAAAATGCGAAGCAAGATTTGTGAGAAATGGCCATTCGTCTTATTGTCCTGGGCATGTTTTCCATGTTTTTCCATGTTTTGTCACATCGAAGTTCCGCCTTATTTTCGGTATTTTAAAGAGCCATCAAACTCTGTGCTATGACTTCGATGTCCTCGCAGGGCAAAACAAAATTAAAGAGTCGATATAGATCCTTTTTGAGGTAACCCTCTCATATAAAGGTCCCGCCAGATTTTCAGTATTTTGAAGCTTTTAGCTGGTTTTGAGGTTTTTTGAAATGTTGAAAACATATTTGCAAAATCGAAGTGTTCCGCCTTATTTTTGGAATTTTTAAGGTTTTAACCGCATTTCCCACACAAAGTAGCTGTAACCTCACATACCAGATTCTAGAAAACATATTCCCAAAAAATGTCATATATAGGAATATGTTTTGACATGGGCCGCATAAAAAGTTCTCGCCCCCAATTTTTCGATATTTTTGGGGTTTTAGCCGGTTTTCCAAATAAAAGTGGCTGTAATTTGGCATTCAGGATTCTTGGAGGGTGGTAACACCCTGTGCAGATAATTTGTGATATAGGTATTTTGAATGTTTTAGACGCCTCTTCTACTGAATTAGGGTTTCGGAAGGATAGGTTCACATTTTGAGGTATCCCTCCATGGATTTTAGCCGCATTTTCCCATCGAAGTGGCTGTATGATGACATTGTGGCTTCTTGGAAAGTCGAAGCCCACTTCGCAAAAACAAATTCAATATGAGTTCATTATGGATCCAGTCGAATTTTCGATAGGTTCATGGTGTTAACCTGCAATTTTGTTTGACTGTAATTTTGCATTCCGGGTTGTTGGAAGGTGGACAATATTTTGCAGAAAATACTAGATAAGTTCTGACATAGTCTTGTATAAATGTCCCCCTATTTTTGGTATTTTTAAGTGTTTCGATGCATTTTCCAACCGAAGTGGTTAACATTTAGCATTCCGGTTCCTTGGAGGTTGGGAAAAAATTGTCGATATGGTTCCATATTTTACCTAGCCTCTATATTAAATTTGCGACATTTTTCGATCATATTTCCTATCGAATTGGCTATAATTTGGCATTTCGCTTTTTTGAAGGGTGAACAAATTTTTCAAGAAAATGTCCGACATAGGCCCACTTTTTGGCATGCGCCATATGAAGGTTCGTCACCATCTTGTATTTTAGATGGATATGATCGTAGCTGTATATTCCGGATCCTTGGAGAGTGAACCACACCTTTCCAAAAAATTATTTTTACATACCATCGACCATTTATTGGCATATCCTCCATTTAAAAGTCCTGCACTATTTTCGGCATTTTTAAGATTTTAGTTGCATTTCCCACCTACGTAGCTACCATTTGGAGTTCCAGGACCGACTATATTCGGTAATTTGAATGGTTCATTGGCATTTTTCATCGAATTAGCTGTTATTTTGCAATCAGGCTTAATGGAGGGTAAACATGGACCCCATAATAGACCCCTAAATATTTGGTATTTTAAATTCGCACTGATCGAAATTAACGACATTATGTCTCTGTTTGAAATTGACCTTTTATTCAAAATATCTAATCTATCCCAATTCTCTCACTACTTTCAGGTCCGCTCTGCCTCATTCGATGAAATGCAACTGGAGTCACAACGAATGTCCTCGCACTTCCTCAAACAACAATCCTCTTCCGATGAACGATCCTCAGAGGGCGGCTTTCTCCAGGTACCGCAGGCCATGCATGCACAACGGTCACATTCCTTCGATTCAGCTGCCGCCTCAGCGGGCAGTGATGATTCGGGTACTTTTCTCGAGGTACCACGTCGTGGGAAAAATCGACGTAGTTCCTCATCAAAGACACCACCACCCTGCATCCACTGTTTCTACTTGGAGGAATATGAAAAGCAAATGCGGGCCCAGCAACGCTATCTGCTCGATCATCATGAAATGAAAAGCTATAGCATGACTAGTTCCGAGCTCAGTGATGACAATGAAGATGAAACTGCCGAAATCGATGAAGATCTTGTCGAGGAGGAGGAGGAAGAAGAGGAGGGTGGACAGGCCACCGATCGTGATGGTCTGTTGGGTGATGAAGGTGATGCCACCGCTGACGATTTGTTAAATGCCTGCCCCGACGATGACAAAAACAGTGTCGAGACGCTGGATGTGTACGACGATGCGGCCCTCGAAATGGATATACGTCTGGGCGGTATGGTCACAAGTAGTATAGATGAGACACGTGCCCGCTTGCCGCGCCAAATGCGCCGTCATACCATCGGTAGTTCGGTGACCACATCCGAGGATGAGGGTCTCGAAGAGTCCGAGCATGATTCACCACATTTCGGTAATACATTAATGCCCCCGCCACCCACGACACCCTGCGGCATAACATTCACGCTGTCCCCGACCAATGGTGATTACCCGCCTTTTCCCTCCGCCTCCCCCTACTCATTCCCCATTGATCCGGGTTCACCGCCGGCATCGCCTTCATTTGCTTTATCGGTGTGCGAGGACAGTCCCGTCATGGAATTGCCACCGCCACCGCCCATATCACCCCTAGAATTACTGCCACAAGCGCCATCATTCGATGTAACTTTGCCACCACCACCAGCCTTCAGTACCGATGACTTTTCACCTGCCATTACTATCGCCTCTGCTGTTGTCGATGGCTGTAGCCTAACGGCGGCAGCGACTATGTCGGCGTTAGGTCATGATGACATGCCGCCGCCGCCATCGTCACCATCTGCAGCAACGCCATTAGCATCACCCAGTCAAAGACCACGCCGACGTTCTATATCCCGCCAAGAAGCTATATTTGTTGAACCCACAGGTAATTCGCTGGAGAATGTGTCGCAAGAGGAACAGCTGAAATCCTCGGGGGATGGAGGAGTGAACTCCTCGATTGATGAGATTTCCACACTGGCCATATGTGGGTCACCGGCACCACCAGCCGGGGGTGTAGCCACCGCCTCTACCCCAGCCAGCAAGCATGCCTTGGTTGTGCGTGATATTTATTTAACAGTACCTGATTTGAGACGTGATCGTGCCGCTTCGGTTGATTCATGTTTTTCCAAAGTATCATCGGGCAATAAAACGGAAGAGCTACAACCGAGTGATGGTTGTTTCCTGACCGTACCCAACATCAATGCAACACGTTCACGTTCGGTGGATATTGTGCTGCCAACGGATGAGCAGGCACGTTACAAGGCATTGGCAATGGCCGGTACCACAGCGGGGATATATGGTGAAGGGTAAGTATTGAGAAGGGTGAGATGTGGGAGTGTGTGTGTGTTTCTGTTTGCATGTGTGTTTTTTTGTTATGTTTGATTTTGTTGTAGTTACTTTGTGGTTATTTTGTTTCCGTTTCCACTTTTTATTCTTCTTGCTCAACATGCTGAGAGATGATGTGGTTTATTGGGGTAGAGGGTTTGGGTCTGTGTTGTGTCTTTTTTGCCTAAAGGAATTTGTCGTTTTCAGTCATCATTCCTGACATCCGTGGGGGGTGAGTGTGTGTGGGAGGTTTCCCTTCATGGCTTCATTGTTGTTGTTGGGTTTGTTTCTTTACAGCTTTCACTTGTGGTCAAAACTTTACAATTTTAATTTCCTCATAATTTATTAAAAGACATTTTGTGTCATGGAGCCAACCAACCAACCACCAGGCCGACCCATCGACCGTCATTTGACGTTGGCTGAAAGGACAAACTTTTTTCCTCCACGTTGATGATAGCCAACTTGTAAAAAATTAATTTTTAAATTGTCCATGTTAAACTGTTTGTTGTTTGTTTTGATGAAAAACTTTTCATTACTTTTTTTTGCGAGGGGTTCCTCTTTTTGTCGGTGGAAATAAGTTAACGGCATTATTTCGAGACATATTCTTTGAGGTCATTTGTTGTCTTTTCTTTTGCTGTTTTATCGAAAAAAATGCTTTAAACTTTTCTACAAAGGTAAACTTTCTGCGAGGTAGTCGGCAACAGATGGCTAAGGGAACCTGCATGCAGAATCTCTAAATCTATCTGGCCAGAATTCTCTCATAAAAGAACGTCTTCGCTGCTGGATCACAACAAGAGGGAGATTAAGATCGTTGTGGGGATCATTACTGGTCACTGCAAAGTTAGATCTCTCACTTCTAAGTGGGACTCCAGTGGAGAGGATTACTGTCGTCTATGTGAGGATGAAGAAGAAGTGGAAACAATTGAGCACATCCTTTGCAAATGTCCATCGCTGATCAGCAGAAGACATAAACAGTTTGGATGTTATGAAATTGATAATCTAGTCTTCTTCTCCAAAATAGACCCTAACCTAATTCTAGGCTTTGTCAAAAAATTGACTTGGCTAAAATAATGTCTCTTCCGCTTCCGCTCCCTCCTATTCTGACTACCTCTCTCTCTACTCTTCCACTATCTTTTCTTCTCTCTCTTTATAGGTACACCTATACATAATGGATGATCACAATGGACATAGTCTCCGAGTGGACGGTTGTTACAACAGCCGTACATCCCAAACCTAACCTAACCTAACCTTTCTACAAAGTCATGTTCTTTATGTCTGACATTACCATGTAATGACATATCATTACTTCTAGCATGACTTCAGGTCGAGACCATAATGAAGTAGTTAAAAGTTTTGTCCGCGAGAGCGTGAGGGGAATTTTTCAATTAAAAAAAAAAAAAAATGTGACCCTTGTGTAAAATTTAGTGCATATGATTGGCAATATTTCTGGTAACTGGAACAGAACACAACCTTGAAATATGTGTAATTTTAATTAATAATTTTATTAAAAATAAGATTCCGAAGAATACATCAAGTTTTTATAAATGTATGAGATCTTCTAAATCTTTTGAACGTTTTCACTTATAAAATGTCATATAATAAATTATTTTTAAAACGTATAGCCCGCAAATATTGTTTTATATTGCTTATAGGAGCTTTCAGTGGTCTGATTTCAGTAACACAATTTTTCAACAATTTAAAAACCTCATTATGTTTCACCGTGCCAATATTTTTTATCTCTCCACAATTTGGTGTGGATGAAAAATTAATTAAATCGGTGTTGACCTTTACGTGGTGACCATGTCTGCTAATAGGTAGTGTATGATCTGAGAAAATTAAAAACCAAATTACAGACACCAAGGTGGGAAAACTGGACTAGGAATTTTAATACTGAAGAGCAACCTATTCATGAGGGCTATTAAAAAAATTGACCTATATTAAGAACTGTTTGCGAAGAATTTTGTATTTTTACACCAAAAATGCGGAATACCAAATGATAGGAACGGCGAGCAAATACAGCTAAAACTTTTTCAAAATACTGGAAATGGGAAGAAACTTATTCATCACATTGTTGACTTATTTTATTAAAAAATGTTCATAACCCCTCCTAGAACTCAGAATGCAAAATTATAGCCACTTCGGTTGGAAAATGTGGCAAAAAGCTAATCAAAATATCGCTTATGAAACGGAATCTATATATGGGAACTATTTCAAAATATTAACCTATATCGACGCCTCCGAAGAATAGTATGTAAATTAAGGACCGTAGTATCTAAAAACGTAAAGAACTTTAAAACATGATAAGCATGACTTAGCATACAATGGTCCGGAGGCGTCGATATGCTGTGAACAATATTTTTTGTAATTCAAAATCCTGGAATGTGAAATTAAAGCTACTTCGATGGGAAACATTTTTTTTTAAATTCCGAACATGGGACGAGATCTTTATCTGGGGGCGTTTTGTTGCGATTCAAAATTCTGGAATTTCAAATTAAAGCTACTTCGATCCGAAAATGTGCCTTAAACCACTTTTAAATTCCGAACATGGGGCCGAATCTTTATATGGAGGCTATGTCACAACATGGAGCTATATAGATATTTTTCAGCGAATAAGTTTTTTTTCATAACCCATGTTACACACACTTCGGTGCGAAAATGTGGCTAGAACCTTTTCATAATACCGAAAATAAGGCGAGACTTTCATCTCTAAATATAAGCTTATATCAATGTTTATCACCTTCCAAGAATACCAAAATATGATATTTTGGTGCGAAAACCGGAACCAAAAATGAGACGGGATCCTTATAAAACTTGGGCTATATTGGAATACCAGAGTACAACTACTTCTGCGCGTGTCCATAATATGAATTCTATTTTAAAACAAAAAATTGCAAAACAAAACAACAAAAATGTTTTTCACCCTCCATGAATCCGGAAGGCTAAACTATAGCCACTTGGATAGAAAATGAGGCTAAAACCTTTTCAAAATATTGGAAATGGGGCGCTATTTCAAAACATGGACCTATATTGAAAATTTTCTGAAAATGTTCCGAAGAACCATTAATAATCAATTTCAGCCACTTCGGCAGCGAAAATTGGATTGGACCTTCGTATGGAGGCTAGGTTAATTCATAAAGCTATATGGACATTTTTCTCCAAATGTTCAACTTCCAAGAACCCGGAATGGCAAATGGCATTCTTCTTTAAATAACCAGAAATAAGACGATTGTTTTCTGTGAGTATGGGAAATGTGACAACAATTATCAAATTACCTAAATGGGTGGGGTTATATACGGGGACTATACCAAAAAAAGAGGACCAATAGACGGACATGGCAAAATCGACAAAAAAAATATCAAGAATATATTAGGTTAAGGAAAAAGAAATCCATTATGAAAATGTCGATAAAATCGGAGAAACGATCGAAGTTGACCGACATGCAGTCGTAACATCGCCCAGGAGCTTAAAATTTAACATAAAACTGTTTTACCCAAATATGGATTCAAAAAGAAGCTCGATGTTTGGGTGTCACACCAATTAACAGAAAAAAATAGAATGCGAACCCTTTTCTTAAACGGATGGTGACTGGATATGAGAAATGCATTTCATACGATAACACTGTGCAAAAACGATCGTGGTCACAGAGCGGCGAATCACCTCAAGCGGTTGCCAAACCAGGACTAAGGGCCAGGAAAGTTCTCCTATGCATTTGGTGGGACTGAAAGGGGAAAGGGGCAAAATTCTGATCTCTACTGTCTACAACTGGACCATTTGAAAATAGCAATGACCATAATTGCCCAACAAAACTGGATGGTCCTTGAAAAAATATTCCTTAAAAATCAATGCGTTGATCTGGTCCTTGAACAAAAAATTTTCTTTAAAACTCCACGCCATGTATGGATGGTCCTTGAAAAAATATTCATAAAAAACTCCACGCCTTGTATGGATGGTCCTTGAACAAAAAATGTTCTTTAAAACTGGACCAATTGAAAATAGCAATGACCAAAATTGGCCAACAGGAGAGGTGTCGTGTTCCACCACGAGAACGCTAGGCCACATTCATCTACAGTTACTCACCAAAAACTTCGAGAGCTTGGTTAGGAAGTTTAATACATCCGCCATACAGTCCAGACTTGGCACCAAGCGATTATCATATTTTTCTTGCATTTTTAAAAAATTGATATCTAGGGAGGATTGTGAAAATCGTCAACTAAAGTTTTTTTTCAAATAGTGAGCAGCACTTCTATAAGAGAGGCATTATGAAGTTACCTTTAAAATGGCAAAAAAATCATACAATAAAACTGTGCATATTTGACCCAAATCGGACATTCCGAAGCATGTTAAATGAAGTCCTATAGTTAATATAAAAATAATGGGTTTCTTTTTCCCCAACCTAATATATACTTTTGTCAGAGGCAGGTTTTCCACAGGTCATATATGTCCAAGTTCACACTCCCTTAATTCGGATGATGTTTCAGAAAGTAGTGACGACTCGGGCATATTTTTCGATTGCTAGGTCATAGTAAAAATCATTATAATTCCTTATCGAAAATATCACTGCCATACGTCCTTTTTTCTATTTGAAGGAATATGAGAAGACGAAAATAACTCCAACTTCTAAAGTCTACACCACCTGAAACCCTTAAAAGCCGGTCTCAAATAATGACTTTCTGTCAGGGACCGAAAATAACAGTTATTTTTTAAAATGCGAACAAAAAAATCTTCATGTTAGAGACATGGGACACCAATAGTGTCATATACCAATAGATTCGTATTGAGGAGCCCATTAAGGATATTGAGTGATCTTGAGAAAACACTCTCAGTTCCCATGTTAAGGATTATTTTTTAACGGAAAAAATAAACGTTGATTTTTAACTGTTAAAAATGATTTTTATTTTTTCCGTCAAAAATAAAAGTCTTTTTGTGACTTTTATTTTTTCCGTCAAAAATAACAGTCTTTTTGGGACTTTTATTTTTTCCG